CTTTGAAGTTAGCAGCTTTTAAAAAGAGAAGGTGAAGTTCGTAAAAACCCACGGTTGTTCTACAACTACACCATCCATCTTTTATGAGGTTTGGGGCAGGCTGAGCGCCTTCCTGTAATTTACTAGAAATGGGGGCCCGAGAGGCCACCAGCTCTGACTAGGTTCCCCTTGGCCGCAGGAAAGGCCATGATATGCTGTCCTGGCCTGGGGCCCTGCAGCGTCCGGCCTGGTGGAAGGGAGGGCAGGGTGGATTGTGGCTGGCGGGTTGAGCTGGGGCAATGGGTCCTGCGGTGGGGGGTGAGCAGTTTCAGAGGGGGTCCGGTCTGTTGCCTACGGACCCTTGGTTCACCCATCGCGAGGTCGCACAGAAGGAGCAAGTCTGGGATGCTACTCGTATTCCTGAGGTCCCCCATGGGGTCAGGCTGAGGACAGACATGCAACTGTGACCACGTCCTTCCTTCACTCCCTTTCTCCTGAGGGCATGCGGCTCTGGTCCCATGTACTTTCCCCTGCACTGCACTTTTCTCCCCATTCTCTGTATTTGGAAAGCAAGGTCACTGCTGGACCCAGCTGGAGCATGAGATGTAGGACAAACACAGCCCCAAATGCAGGTAAATAGCCATTTGGGAACAGCCATTTCCACGGGCAGAAACACACCAGCCCAGCTCCTCCTTCCCGGGGTCCCGCAGTCTGTCTTAACATGTGGAACCCACGTGATGGCGTGCCTCCATGCCTCCCTGGCTGATGTGGGAGGGAATTCCCTGTTGCTGGCAGTTTTTTAGAGCAGTTAGAGCAGAGCCGGGCAGGGATGACTCAAACATGGGATGGGAATTGGTCCCTTCCGGTTCTGAGAGTTTCTGCTCCATTTCTAATTCAAATCATTTCAGGGATGAGTCAGGCCGTAAGTTCAAATGCTATAAACGTATGTGGTGATGGTAGTAGTGGCTTGGGGGGTCAGGAAAGCCAGTGGGTGACCCTAGCTCAGCTCCCTTAAGGTGTGGATATCACCACCTGGGCTTCTTCACCAAGGTTAGGAGGGGTCCTCTGTGCTGCACTTGCCACTGAGCTCTGTGGACCCAACCAGCCCTGCGTGGGTCCAGCCTTGGCCTCCAGGTAGCCAGTCTGATGTACTGGGCGTCAGATCAAGAGGAATTTTGCCCCAGGATGGATCAGACCCGGAGTCTCACCCATACCTGATTTAGATGATGAGATATTAGAACTTCTTGAATTGATAAGATTTAGGTAAGATTTTAGACTTAGAGGTGATCCTGGGATGGGTTAGTACTTTGGCAGGGGCTTTGGGGATGGGGTGAATGTGTTTTGCCTGTGGGAAGGATGTGAGTTTTTGGGGGAGGGGGCCAGAGGGTGGACTATAGTAGGCTGAATAGTGCCCTCTTAAAATGCATGTCTACCTAGAAGTCGAGGGTCTTTGCAGATGTAATTAGTTAAGGGTCTTGAGATGAAATCATCCTGGATTCAGAGTGGGCCTGAAATCCAATGACAGTTTTCTTTTTTTTTTAAATGGAGGTGCTGGGGATTGAATCCAGGACCTTGTGCATGTTAAGCACATGCTCTACCACTGAGCTATACCCTCCCGCAATGACTGGAGCCTTTATCAGAGAAAGAGGAAGATTTGAACTTGGAGAGAGATGGAGATAAGGAGGCCATGGGACGATGGAGGCAGAGATGGGAGTCAGGCTGCCCTGTACAAGCCAAGGAACACTCAGAACCACAAGCAGTTGGAAGAGGCAAGGAAGAGGCCTTCTCCGGAGCCTTCACCAGGAGTGTGATTCTGCCAACACTTGATTTCGGGCTTCTGGCATCAAACCTGCAAGAATAAATTTCTGTTGCTTTAAACCACACGATTTTTGGTAATTTGTTACCACAGCCCTAGGAAACAAGCACAAAAGTAAGGTGCGGGGACACAGACGATTCACAGCCGCACAAGAGATGTAGCCGGGGACAGGTCCGTCATCTGGACAGGTAGCAGAGCGTCATGAGAACCGGGCGGAGTGATGGGTGGATCCCCGCAGAATGCCAGGTGGTGGCTGGTGAGGCAGGTTAGGGGAAGCCAAACACCAGCCAGAGCTGGGCCTGGGGCCACAGCAGGGTCCGGAGTAGGGAGGCATACTGAGAAGGGGCTGCGCTCCGGAATTAGGTAGATTTGACATTGCCATTTAGTAGACGCTGGACCTTGAGCATGAGCTTTGACTGCTCTGGGCTTTGGTTTTCATATCTGTAAAATACATGCCTCTGTATCTCCCTGGCAAGGATTAAATGAGGCAGGCACTTGGTACGCAGTGGGTGTCTTGCTGTCAGTCCCCTGCCACTGAGGCTGATGTATGTGTGCTGGGGTAAGTCTCTCCTCTCCGAGGGCCTCAGCCTCCGTCTCCTCCCTGTGAAGCCATCACTGTGGCTACTATTACTATCCATCAGCGAGCGCTCTCCCTGTGCCGCGGGCTGTGCCAGCAACTTCTCATACATTATCTCATTTAATCCTCATCACAGCCCTGGGAGCTATTATTATTTCATTTTACAAATGAGGAAATGAGGGCACAGACAGTGTAAGTAATTAAGATTCCAACCCCGTAGGCCTGGGTAATTCGGAAGCCGGAGAGGCTGAGCCCTGGAATAAAGACGGCAGGCATTTCGCCATCCCAGGTTTTGCTGGTTCGTTTTTGTTTTTGTTGAAAGCCCTGTTCCACCACCTGATTCTACTGTTGCCAGGGCCTGAAGTCACGCACTGGCTGGTTCAGTCATGAAGAATCCTGCCGCTGAGATCGAAGAGGCCAGGCTAGAGCATCCTTGATACCACCTCTCCGGGGAGCTGCATCTTGACACTGGCAGGTTTTTGAATTCTGAGGCCACTCCTTCGACTCAGAAGGAGGCCGTGGGAACTATGCCACGAGGCCAGCGGCATGGCCCAAGGCGACAAGGAGGTTTTGGCTGCAGGCAGCTTCCTCCTCTCTGGCCTGCTTCCAAGCTCTTCTTGACACTGGAGTGATCAAATGTCACCACTACTGCTCTGCTCAAACTTGCCGTCTTTTCCTCATTTCACTCCTAACAAAGCTGCATGCAGGCATACCTGCCCCCTCTCTGAGATCTGACCTCACCTCTTTTCCATCACTCAGGCCTCCCTGATCTGGCTAAGTACTTGAGGCCCACCCCTGCCTCAGGGCCTTTGCACTTGCTGTTTTCTCTGCCAGAAGTAGTCTTCCCCTAGATATCCACAAAACACACCCATTCCCCCTTTCAAGTCTTTGTTCAAAAATGGGGCCTTTCTTGAACACCCTGATTAAAACTGTAAGCCCCTCCTCCCCACCCCACCCCCAGCCCTGGCCCCAGTAACCCCCTCTGCTTTAGTTTTCCCCATAGCACTGATCCCTCCTGATATTCCATATATTTCATGTATGTATTTATTTATCTCTCACTTCCACAATAACTTGAGTGAAAGTTCTGGGAGGTGGGGATTTTCGTCTGTTTTGCTCACTGTTGTTTAATCTAGTACCTAGAACGCTGGCTCATAGCAATGGTTCAATAAATATTTGTCAAATGAATAAATGAATATACCATCTTAAGATGGTACAATGTCACTGTGTCTGCCAGGGCACAGAATAGGTACTCAGTCACTATTACTATCTTCCCTCCAGTCCCCAAACCAAATGATAATAAATTTAAGAAGAGTTTGCTGAGACCTGGGGACACAGCTGGAGAGACTTTGCAAACCATCATAAATCTAAGTATCGGATAGTGTTTGGTATTCACCGACAGTCAGCACTGTGCTTGCTTCCTCAATAAGCTCTATTCTTTCTAGACTCTAGATGTGGACATGTGCTTGTTCGTAATGTATCCCTTCCTCCAGGAAGCCCACCTTGACTTCCAGACTAAGTCAGGTCTCCCTCATCAGTGCTTCCCCCAGCACAGTGCTTCCCACTCTGTTCCATACCTGCCTGTTAATTTGCCTATCTATCCTACCAGCCTGTAGGATAAGCAACAGATCTGGACCTGGCACGTAGTAGGCACACAGTGAAGGCTTGTTGGATAAGTTTATGGAGCCAAAAAGCCTTCCAAATGCGCACACCTTTCCTTAGATGGTTGTTCTGGATGCTTCAGGCCTGCAGGTGCTGGTTCCATCCCTGCCCTGTTGTGGGGCTATCCAAAAGGTGAGACGCCCCACTGTCTTGGTGGAGCACAGATGTTGCTCTGGAAAACACTCTCCCCCACATCCTTCCCTAGATGGAGGTCTCAGACCCCTGGAACCCCACTCTGGGCCCTAGCTCATTCGCAGGGAGTGCTTTCAGGCCTGCCATCACCAGTGTTCCTCTTCCCGATCCAGGTAACTTAAGCAACCGCCTTTTGTTGAGAATGGAGAGAGAAGAGCTTGCAGAAAGCAGCCAGCCAGGGAGACGGGAGATGCTGGGTGCTAGGCAACTGGCCAGGAAGCACATACTGGCCTCGTCTCCTGGGGCCCCGCCAGGCATTGCGCAGCTCAGATCTGGAGCTCTTTGTGTGGATGAGTTTCCATTTTGTTACACTCCCCACCTGGTTTGCTTGTGGGGCTACAGGAGGCGACAGTGGCTGTCGACCCCAGGCAGTGGGGCAGGAAGCAGCTGTGGCACCAGGGGAGGCTGGTGGGTCTCCCATCTCCCGTTCCTGCGGGGTCCTTGCCCTGCTGGTGCTTCTCACTCCTCCCCCTGCAGGCATCCTTCTCCCATAAATCCAGATGCTCTGGGGCCATGTTCTTTGTCTTCTTCACGGCCAGCCTTCTCGAGCCAAAAAGTGTTGAAACTGGGATTTTGGCAAACCTGAATCTGGGCTGGTTCAGCGCTTCAGCTGACTCCGCCGTTTATGGGCTGCCTCCTCTGCACGACTGCCGAGCCACCTGGTTATCTCACTTATCACCCAGACCAACCCTGTGACACAGAGATCCTAGCTCTTCTTTTGTAGACCAGGAGACTGAAGCTCAGGTAGCCTAAGAGACTGGTTCAAGGTCTTAAGCAGCCGAGCTGTCTTTAAACCCAGGTCTCCGTACGGAAGCCACGCTGTTTCTTTCTAACATCACCTGTTTTACCCATGGCCGGGATTAACAGGGCTTTGGACCCTTAATTAATAAGACTTAAAGATGTTGGTTCTTTGATGGCGGTAGAGTCAGGAAATAAAAGCAAAAAAACTGCATTCTCCCTAGTCAAGGGGATGGCTCTCCTCTGCTGTTTCCCTCACGTGGCAGGAGCTTCGTTCATGCAACACTCAGCTCTTTTCCTCAATCCCACCCCAGGCGCCTCTCCACACTGCAGAGGGAGGCCATCCAGTCCTTGCTGCCTGGTTGTGGGGTGAGTCTCTCTAACCCTAGCACCGTATTTGCTTAGGAGGTCATTTTCCCACAGTTATAAACCATCCTTCATCTAGACCTCGTTGGTCATAAAGGTAACATTTTGGCCTCCCACTCGTTTCTTCTTCTTTTATTTATTAATTTTTTTTCTGATTTGTCAAACCATTCCAAACCTGGGCAGGAAAGAGGCCTGTATTGATTGGACATTCTGGAAGACCTTGGCCATCCTGTGATCTAATTTCACGAGATTCCGTCCAGGACACCTGCTTTGTGAATCCAACATGCGCAGAGATTGTGCCAGTTCCAGAAAGCATGCTCCCTGTGCTCCGAGGCTTCGCAACCAAGCTGGGGAGGCCTGGTCGAGCCACAAGACACGTCTGGCAAGTCTAAGGCCACACCCTGGAGCGCCTTCACTACGCCATCTGGTGATCACAGCATGATCTGTTTAAATCAATACCCTAGTTGATAACTGCCATTCATAAATGAAAAACCTAATCTCAAAACACTGAAATACAATAATAAATATTCTCCACTTTAACTCTGAGCCTGTTGATTCCTTCTTCAATGACTCAGTCTTTCATGACTTTTCAGGAGTTCGGGGAAACCACAGCCATCAGTGTCATGCAGCCTGGCTCTGCACCCCGTTCTTTCTTACTTCATCTTTGGTGCAACCCTGGACAGGAGGTTTTGTTATTCCCATTTCGCAGATAAAGAAAACGAGGCTCAGAGGACTTCTGTTAATTTCTCAAGGTGACTTAAATTGCATTTAAAGTCAGCCTGTGTGGTTGCAAAGCCAAGTCCATCCCAGCACATCCCGCTGCCTCTCAATAAATACGAGAGCATTAAGCCCTTGCCATTGACAGGAGTAATTCTGAGACCCCTGGGAGCTCCCAATTTACAAATTCCACTTTAGCATACAATCGCCTCCAGAAAACATCTCTTTTGTGCTAAGACCCAGCCCTTGTTCATCCTACTTCATTGCCAGCAGCGGCAGTTAAGGTTGGCTTCGGTGGGGGGGCTTGCCCTGCAAGGAGGGTGGGCAGAGAGCAAGGGGGCCATGCTGGGAAGTGAATGCCCGACTGTCTGTGGGGCGCCCCACAAGCCGCACGCCAGCCCAGATCCCTGGACCTGGGGCGGGGAGCTTGAGAACAAGATACGACTGTTGCAGTGGCCAGATGGTCGCATGCCACTGCTGAGAACACACACGTGCCCCCACACGCCGCCCACAGTCACACACTCTGGCATCCTGGTCAGAGATACTAAGCAGGGTGGGTCCCCGGAGACCAGCAGTGAGCCAAGTGTTTTCTGAAGCCCAGTCTAAATGGAGCTTTTAAGTTGTACCTTGATGGACATTTTGTTTTTTCAAATAACTATGCATCTTCTAATGGCTGCTTCAATACGTGTAACTTGTACATCAAACCCTGATTTCATGGATAATTGGGCTGATTTTCCATCCATAGTCATGACATAGCTTTCCCTGAAAATCTACTGAAGTGAACAAAATGAATCAGCTCAAAGGAAAATCTTTAGTAAACACTCACTCCGCGGTACTTGGTGAAGGCAAAATCACCTGTAGGTGGTCTGTGGGGAAGTGAAGATGGGGGTTTCTTGGCCATGAGGGTATCACGTGGGCAGGCGGTCAGGAAGATGCAGCTGGTAAAGGAGCCTGAGGCCACTTCCTGAGGGGTCTGGAGCTTCAAAGATGGAAGGGACGGCCGCATTCTGGCTGGTGGACGGAGGGGAGGAAAACCCCCAAACCCCAAGCCTGCTTCTCCATTAGCAATTATGTGTGGAACAGACTGTGTGTAATGTTGAGGAAATTCAAAGTACAGGAAAGATCCCTTTGGGAAGAATTAAACAAATCTTCTTTGAAGAGGTGACTATAAAAACAGGACCCACTCCTGCGATAATCAAACACTCTCCTAGAGCTTTTTTTTTTAACTTTTTTAAAATGGAAAACTTCAATCATAAGCAAAAGTGTAGTGAATAGTATAAAAAATTCCATACACCCTTCCCCAGCTTCTTTCTGATCATTTTTAACCCTCTCAAGGAAGGACCACATAACTGGGAGTTGGGAGAACTGGGTTCTAGTTGTAGCTCTGCCACAAATTAGCTGTGTGACCTTGGACAAGTCACTTAACCTCTCTGAGCCTCTGTTTCCTTTTATGTAATATGAGGGCAATGAACTGGATCTCCTCAGAACCTCCCGTTACCGCTACCTACCTCTACAAGTTCATAAAACAGCAATAAAAAATGCACAGTGCTAGGCTAAACGTGGTGCTAAGCAAGTTAAATGGGTGAGGTCTTCCTATGGTTTTATTCGTTGTGTAACTTTTCCCCCGGAAAAAGTCTAAGGAAGTATGGGGACATGCTAAGTGATCCTGTTAAGACAGACACTTGTACCAGGTCCAACACGCTCCCACATGTATGTCCTCATCTGGGATGAAGGAAGAAATAGAACAAAATCATTTTCTTTGAAAAGCTATGGGATAACAGTGACTTTGTATTGGCAGTACTGGGGGACAACTCTGCATTTGTCCACAATTCCCACAGGAATGGCCAGGTAGGTGACCATCTATCTATTTGAGAAAACCATATGGACCACCGGACTGGAAAATGAGGCCCCAGGAAGGCGGTGAAATCCTGATTTACACAATCGGGTGGCCTTTCTTGGCCAAATTAATCAGATCAGTGTTTCCATGAGCGAACGCTTACCAGACGCTGAGAACAGTACCTGGCAAACTAGGTATTAGACATCATTTTTATGATTTCTAGTTTCCGGGCAGATATTAAACTAAAGGGCTTAAGTATTTCCATGTAAAGCTCACACACAGTCAGCTTTGGTAACAAAAGAGCAAACAAAGGCATAATAATCGACTTTGCCGGGATAAGCTCATGTCCTGAACAGCACCGGGGACGGAGTCAGTAGCTCTTAATCCCAAAGAGTGGCTTGTGGTCCTGAGCACACCTTCCACCCCGTCAGCTCTCGGACTGGCCTTGCACACTGAGTCCTGCGCTCTCAGCACACAGCCTTCGGTGTTGACGGCAACGAGGCCAAGGGGCCCCACCACCCACCCGGCCTTACTCACCGGTTCAGCTCAGGTGGGAACGCAGAGGAGAAAAATGCGGCGGTACAGGCTGGCCGCAAGATGGAGCAGAGAAGAACAGGACAGGGGGTGGGGGGCTCTGGACTGGGGTCTTGGTTCTACCACCATGTGAGCTGGGGCGAGACCCTTCCCTTCTCACAGTGCCCTTGGTCCCATGCATATAACAAAGGCTTAAACTGGGTTATGGGGGTGTTTTAAGCACTGACAGAGTCTATCCTACGACAATTATCGCATAAGGATAATTATATTAATATAGAACGTAACGATAACAACATGTAATAATAATCACGGGCGAGGTAAAGACTCCCTGATTCCTGGGACTGCCTTGCAATAAATTCTCTTCACCCCTTAAGTGCATTTTCCCAGCTAGATGCGGGGGGCACATGGTTCCCAGCTTTGAGAAGCTCACAGGCTACTGGAAGAGACAAGGAAAAGATCAATTAAAGTGAAGTGAGAGCTATTACAGAGAGAGGAACAGGTGCTTGGGGAGTCCAGAGGAGGCGGCTACGATCCTAAAGGGACTGGGATTTTGGCTCGTCTCTGGCTTAAACATCTGCTCTTCCCCACTGAGCCAATGTGGAGATCTTTATTCGCTCGACGACTGTTCGTGGAGCTTCCGTGGAGCCCCGGGCACTGTGCCGGCTGCCCTGTATGTACATGGATGTTACACGGATATTACTGACTCGAGGGAGGCAGGCGATACGCATGTGAAGGAACAAGAATGAGGGTTAGAAACTGTGTGCTGAGCTATGAAGGAAGCTCAGAGATGATACAAGAGAACACAGGGATAGATGTGCCTTCGAGATCTGGGGACGCCCCCTGCAGGAGGTGGCTGTTGAGCTGGGAGCCAAAGGGTGAGAGGGGGAGGAGCACAGGAGGCCACGTGCGCAAAGGTGCCAAGAGCCTGATGGGCTCCAGAATCCCGGAGGCTGGGAGGGCGCGTGGTGAGGGATGAGGCCAAAGACTGGTACCCGACAAGGAGCCCAGCAGGAGGCACAGGGCGGGGGGGAAGCGGGGGCATGCACTGATCTGATTTACTCTTTTAAGAAAGTCTGGATTCCAGGAGAGGATGCAGTGGGGAATATTTGGAATATATCAGTGGACAAAAGAGACAAAGACCCCCCTGTGCCCCAGGAAGCTCTTGAAAAGAATCTGTTCCTTGCCCCTTCCAGCTTCTGAGGTCTACGGCATTCCTTGGCTTGTGGTCACATCACTCCAGCCTCTGTCTCTATGTCTATGGCATCTTCTCTGTGTGTGTGTCAGATCTCCCCCTCTCCCTCTTATAAGGACATGTGGTAGCATCTGGGGCCCACCTGGCTAATCCAGGAAGAGCTCCCCATCCCAAGATCTGTGTTTAAGTTGCCAAGCACATTGGGGGAGCTCAAAGGATTTCTGTTTTCTCACCCCGCTGCCTTGATTTGAAATGATTTGGGTCAGTCTGGCCATAGCACCCACCCAAAGGGAGATGTCTCTTTTTTAGCAGAGCTGGGAGCTGCAGGTGGCCAGCCTGTGGACTTGGAAACCAAAGCCAGGAGCCTATTCCTTGTGTAGGGCTGCTGGCCTCCTAGTTCAGTTCCCAAGGCCACCCCAGCATCGCACGGCTGTCCCACAAACATGCATCTCACGGGAGACCATGCCGACGGCTCTTGAGACACATTACCTCTAGACTCAAAGAACATTCTCTGAGCAGAAAAGGGAGAGGCCTGGGGCTCTCTGTGTGTCCTCAGTAAGTCACCACTCACTCCCCTGTGAGCTTCATTTTTCCAGCTTATTCAATAAGGGGTTTGAACTACATTAGTCATTTCACATTTGTGTTTTATGGTAGAACCTTTTTCTTAAAAGAAAGAAAACAAACGAACAAAAAAACCCTTACAAGGTACCCTGATGTTTAAAACAGATTAAAGATGCCCTGGTTAAAGTGGGGAGGGGACTCAGAACCCTCCTTACCCCCATCCCCAAGGTAAGCCCAGGGCACCTCCATGAAAGCCTCTAGTTCCAAGGGACAGACTTTGAAAGATTCTGACTAAAGGCAAAACTTGCGAGCTCCTCTGAGTTTAAAGCTATCCGTGATTGGAGTTAGATGAACTGGGGCTGATGAATATGTATTTGAAATGGTTATGTGTAAAAATGTATTTGTGTGTAGGCTTTATTTTCATTTTTAACCTGCAGATAGCCAGCCAGATCCTTAGTGTTTTATGCCTCCTTGTTAATTTTGTGATGTCAGATTTGCTGCGCAGTGATATTCTGAAGGCGTTGACTTAGTATTTGTAGTCAGTTAAAAATGCTTTGATTCTGAGAGAGTAATAAACAGATCCCGAGTTAAATATTTCTAAGGTCTCTCACAGCTCAAAAAAAAAAAGTCGTCAAAAATGAGAACTTTCTCTTGTGGTCAATCTCTACAACTTCATGAAGCAGGTTCTGGGTTCCCCCATGAAATTAGAGAAAATGTTGCTGTTTAATAATCAGCGCAGGAAGGAAAGTTAACAAAAAAACAACAACCCTGCTTTAGTTGAGCAGGGTACCATCTTATACCTTAAGCTAGTTAATTCTTTGACCAGTGCTACAATGGTGCAAGCATCCTTCTTCATCTATTTCAGTTATGGGGAAACTGAGGCACAGAGATGTAAAGCGACTTTCCACAAGGTCATCCAGCTAATAGGTTCAGGATCCATACTCTGGATCTGTGTGCAAAGGCTGTGCTCTTCCCACCTCACGCTGTTTCTAAGGGCAAAAAGTCCCTCTGACTTCAGTACAGTCATTAAACTGTATTAAAAGCAATCTTTCTATTGATCTGCAAGTTCTTGGTTCAGCCCCAGCTCTCCCATCTACGTCAGTAACAGCGCTTCTCTCCCATGAGCCCTGTGAGATAAGCAGGCCAGGTACTATCACGTCCATTTTTCAGATTGGGAAACTGAGGCTCGGAGAGTTGGAGTGACTTGCCTAGGCAGGGTCACGCAGAGTAGGAAGAATGGGGGCTCTGCCATTCCCTTCTGAATCTTCTCACAACCAAGAGCTCGAGTCCCAAACCACAGAGCTACCTTGCTGGGGGAGTTCATGCCCCCGTTCTTTAGCAGAACTCATTTTGTTTTCAAATCGCACCACGCTTTTTCATCACGGCAGGCCTTTTCATTTATTAAGCCTTCAATTTGCCTTCTGCTTATCATTTATTTGCTTTTGCTTTTCGTTTTTTAGGAGGTGAAGAAAATGCAAATTAGCAAATGAATGTCACGCATAATATAGCTGACCCTGCTGCAAACAGCCTTTGTGACAGCCTGCGCCATTCTAGGACAAGTTGGTCTACAAGGACTGGACACACCTCTCTGGCTGTGTTGACACAGGCCCAGCCTAGAGACGAGACATCCTGCCGATGGCCTCCCGGGAGAGAACGGTGGCAGGAATGTGCTTCTGTTCAGGGGGCCATTCCTAAGATTAACGCCTTGGTTCAAGTCTAGTGCGTCGTTTCCCTGAGCTACGGGAAAACGTGTTTGCAGAGCCCAGCAATGGTAGCACAGAAGTTCCAAGGCTGACCGTACAGTGTTCGTTGCCTGGTATAAAACCCTCATCCTTGGCCTTACCTCCTGACCTGGTGTCCCCCCTCCACCTTGCTCTGTTTCCCGGCTCTCCTAGCTGGACTTTCACTGCTCTTCCTTCTAGACTGTCTTTGCCTAGATTTTTGGCCTGCTATGTGTTCTCTTTCCTTCGTCCAAGAACATGCTCTTTCCTGGGGCTTATGGCTGTTATCTCTCCATCCTAACAACACACGCGCGGGCTGCCTTGGCCTCTAGGATTTACCGAGGCCCCTCCTACCCGCTACACTCTGCCTCCACCCTGTCTGACATGTTCTGGTGGGTGGAACTCAGATACACTTGGATCCCTCAATAGTCACGTGTTGAGCGCCAAGAGAAATAACAGTTGCCGTTGACTGCATATTGGAAAGTATGTTAAGTGCCTTTGTTTGCTAATTATTATCTCAGTCAGTACTCAACACCCCTGTGAGATAGTTATTAAAATATTCCCACTTGGCAGTAAGAGAAATTGAGCCTTAGAGAAGGCATATGGCTTCCTAAGACGGCACAACTTGCAGGGGATGGAGGGATGGTGCTGGGGTCAAGTTCTCTGTGTGTTTCATCACATGCAGTATTGCCTCCCACCTAGTACTTCTAGCTTCGCTTTAGTCCCAAGGGCAGATGCGAGCTTGCGTGCACACACACATGAACATCACCCCGCGCTCATGTGGTTGGGAGTCACAGGAACTGGACCAGAGTCGAAAATGAAGAATCACCATCGGGTCAGCATTGCTAATGCCTCACGGAAAACTTTCCACTTCCAAACAATTAGGGTGATGGATTTCCTCACATTTCTTTTTTCTGCACTTCATGTTACAGAGGTTGACAAGAAGAAGCAAAGGTTTCTGCCTCTGCAGCATTGATTGGCACTTGCTGGTAGATATGATCCTCTGGATGGGCCAGCCAGGGGCCTTGAGGATGATGTGGGGTTCAGGTTGGGGGACGATTTGGGGGGAACAAATGTGACCATCTGATACCCAAGACTCTGGTTTCCATGAAAGGAAGAGAAAAGTGAGGATCTGATTAAAAAGAGGAATTTTTAAATAAGCGAGACATCTAGTCTCTTCTGCCAAGAAACCTGGGTCTCCTAACTGCGGCACGTGGAAGGTGGCCTGACCTCTGGGGACGTTCCAGCTCTGTGATGCTGAGACCATCGGGCTGCGGATCATCAGGTGAGGAAGCAGCCTCAGACCTGCCCATGGTCTGTACCATCAGACCATCTGT